CACAGAGATGAGAGGAGACTGAAGTGACCATCTTTGAGGACTACAGGAAGCTCCTCAAAAAGCTACTTCTGTAATGACTTGAAAGGATTTTACTCTCCATTTAAGAAAACAATGAGGTCATCCTCCCTGTTTGCTCATGATGAGCAATAAAACTCTTAGCTAAAAAAAAAGAGTCATCTTTTTGAGTATTCAAGAGTGAGAACTGAAGAGAGCCTACCTGATGGTGCAGTTAGTCCTAGCTGAGAAAATGCCCACGTTCCCCCAAAGGCTGAGGAGCTGGTTAATGAGCTGAAACGCACGAGTGTAAACCTGCTACCCACTCACGTTCACAGTACCTCACCTCAACTAATGGGCTCATGTGTTTGAATTTCTCATGACTATGGTAGTAAGCTCTAAGCAGTGATGGAGAAACAAACAAACAAAAAAGAAAAAGAATCACCGATGTCAAGACTTCGTTCTGTTTTGAAAGATAAGATGTACAAAAAACAGAAAAAGTTATGAGCACACAGTGAATTCTCTAAGTCTTGCCAGAACCTACTCGTGGAGCCCAGAGGCCGCGAAGGCGCTGTGCTCGCTGCTGTCACGTCTCTAGCAACGGCGCTTTTATTTTTAACTTTCCATGGCAAAAGGCTTCTACCTGACAGGACTGTCTAAGCTATTTAAATGAGTCATTAATTCAATTAATAAATTTTATTGGCTCTAATTGTTTTTTAAAATTAACTGTATTATATACTTGAACCAATTACTTAAGCTTCTTTTCAATTCAAACAAATGCTACAAACCTCAAAAACACTATAGTATAGGATAAACCCCCAAGACTAAAAAAATTAAAAAGACTTGTATCCACTGTGATACGACTGTTGGCCTAGTGTTACAAATACATGATGTTTTTCATCAGAATACTGAAAATAATTTCTGCCAGACTCACAACATAGTCGTAAAAATCTAAAGAGATTCTACATATGACAGAACTTTATTAAGAAAAATGACAGAACTTTATTAAGAAAAAATACTTAAAGGAAATTTGAAAGGAAAATACACGCACGCACACACGCACACACACACACACACACACACACAAGACTGATTATCTGTAAGTATGGAACACTGACTACATGCGCAGGACTGGTCAGCAGAGTATCCGCTTGATGTCTAGCCAAGAATGTTTTAGAACTACCGCCACCGCCACGCAGACACGCCCAGGATTTCATTCACTGTGAGCCACATCTCACAGCACGGGAAGCACCATGAGGCACGTACATATGCTGATTGGCAGAGTGCAAGAGTCTGATGAGCTGAGAAAAGATGACAGCATGACGCAAACCTGAGGTGGTGTGCATGACAAACGCAGTCACTCTCATGTTATGGCAAGGAAAAACTGGACAGGGAGAAACTGCCTCCGAGCCGGATGAAGGCACCAGCTCCACACAGAAGCCTCCAAGGCCGTGTTGCCAAGCAGCAGACTTGAAGGCCTCTAGAGAGTGAGTCACAAGGAGAGCTTGGGCCAAAGCGCACTTGCCTGAGCCTCGCGCCAGGGCCCTCTTTATGCTGTTCCAGTAAGTTACACGTTGCTTTTCCTCTATATAATAATGTGGCTTATTTTCTTAAGGCTTTCTAGGTTCACTAGTCCACCCAGGACAACAACGAACCTTTGCAATGGCATCAAGTTTAAAAAGCAAAAACTCAATGTTGTCTAAACCAAGTTCCCTGGGGCTGAGGAAGCCCAGAGCTTACCCATCTCAACAATCCTAACCGGATTCCTGACTCAAAGCAAAGAAAGCCCAAGGCCCTCATCAGCACTGTGATAAAACAAGTGGCCCAGGGAAGCTGTGGGAGGGTTCCTGGAGTGCTGGGGTCACCTGTCCTCACGTCCTCACGCTAGCAGACCCAGGTGGAAGGCCCCGCCCTCTGGCTGACCTGACCCAGTGTGCTTCCGATTGATTAAGTACGCATAGGTGGCAGAGGGTGCAAAGGATCAGGCAAAGCCACACAAAGCTTTTCAGCAGAAGTGATCCCACCAGGGGGCTCCACTCCCCCAGCTGCCCCAGCAGGCTTTTCCCACTCTTCAAACTGTTTGCAGTAAGTAGCACTGGCTGTGCATGGAGCGCACACAAAAGAGGGTGAGCACCCCAGACCTCATGATCACCAGCAACTCTGGGAACCTCCGGGGTTAGGACAAGGCTCCTCCTGTGCACAGGACCAGGGGCACAGCATCCCACACCTCACCACCTCTTTAGGTTAACAGACTAGTGATCCAAACTACTCTACAGATAGAAGCATCTTTTCTAGTTGTGTTCTACTGTAAGGCAGCTTAACAGAAGGGAAACTACGCTTGGTGAACTAGGGCAAGGGCTCACAAAATGTGCACCCAAGCTTAGTGCTGCGTCACTTGGTTTCCAGAGTAAATTCTAAAAATTTGCACACATATGTATTTATATGTAGATATTTTTTCCAGTGCTAGGACTCAACCAAAGCCTGTGCAGGGTCCACAAACACTCTACCACTCAGACCACTCATCTACACCCCAGCCCCACAATAAAGTATTTTAAGAATTAGGGTTCTGGACCTTTTTCCATCCAAGTTTGAATTGGCACACTCTCAATTTACAAACAAAAGCAAGTGAGCCAAGCTGTAAATAAAACAGCATGAAATGATATACTGCATCTTTACAAAAGTAAACCACTACAATCTGAGATTAATATTAAGGTTATATTATGATGGCAATTTGTCACATTTACTTCAAATAACTAGGTTTTCCCCTAAAATAATAGTTAAATAATTTTCTATTAACTGCTTTTTAATACTATTTCATTTACACATAATTTAACTCGTACCTATTCCTCAGTATTTGTTTCTATGCTGGACACTCATACACATCCACATGGCCTCAGATACTTACTGCATCACCAGAACTACCTGTCACATCACTGTATTTGGGTGCTACAAGTCCAAAGTCATGTAACTATGTATATAACATGGCTGTTTTTCAGTGCTATTCCTATTTATTTACATCATCCAAACATAACTTAATCCTGAAAATGATTCATGATGGAAAATACTGGAAGTTCATCCATGAAAATGAACCAAGGTATAATTTCATAAATAATTTTGCTTATAAACAGCACACAACATTGCACTGAGTTATTTCTACTTCGATTTATCCTATTTCTAGGAAGCATAAATACAGGGTTAATGTCATAAAATAGAAATCAAAATGACTGAACTGAATAATTGTGTCAAGCCAAGAAATGGTCCCTTTTTGAGTGACACATCTTGATGGTAACCCATTCTCCAACCTACCTACATCTCAAGGGGATTCTGAGGTGAAAACTTAACTTAAAACTTGTTTCAAATTTTTTAAGGATAAGATCTAAAGTAAATGTGGAGAAATTATGGTTAAAGTCAGTCAAAGTGATGTTATATTTTCCCCAAGAGAGCTCACACGGGGTCATTTTATTAGGTCAAGAAAAGGTTTTTTTAAATTACTTTCATAAGGAGTTTTTTCCTCATTTTAAAAGATCATTCCATGTATGCACATAATTTCACAGCAATTTTCAAAGACCTGGTGTTCTTCTCAAAAAAAGCTCCTTATTCATATATACTTCATCAACATCAGAAAATCTGCCTTGTATACAGCACTGAATAAAATTTCCCATAAAGATTTTTACAAGATTCTGGCCATATATTGCTCTCAATAAGCAAATGTATCATTATTTTAAACACTGAGAGGGTTGTAATAATATTCCTACATCTAAAGTGAGAAGCAGTCAACATCCTTCCGGTGTGGCAGGGCTTGTTTCCATGGCAACTCCTGTCAACACAGTGGTGACCAAGAGTGACAGTCCTGGAGGGCTGGGAACTACCTAATTGCATGTTTTCATTGTTCAACCGGAAACTGAGGCCCAGCCCCTCGGTCTGCCGATTCAGCCCAGTGGTTAGGATTAAGCAGGGAGTGTGAGCTGGTCATCTGACACCCATCCCAGTGTGGTATCACACCGCGCTGCCGTCCCTTACCCTCCTACCAACTAACATGCAAAGCACACACACACGAAGGACCTTCTACTAATACTCGTGTGTATGCATCTGAGTGCCTGAGTGCTCCGTCTGAATCAAACTATTTTAAGAATTAAACTGTACTCTTACGATTTTTCAGTGTTATAGATAAAAAATATGGTTGTCTTTCTGACAAGACACCAAAACAAGTTTTTCAATGAGGAAAAAGTGAGTAGTAAACCATAACCTTTTGTCTCCATGTCTCAAAATGCAAGAAGTTATAATATTTTAAACAGTAAGTTTTGAAGATATAAAGAAATTCTTTAACCAGTTATATTCAGGACTTATTTCTCAGCTGCAATTCACTAACCCCCACCAGAGTAAGGAACAGAAGCACTCAGAGAAGGCAGTCCCTCTGGTCACCCCAAGTCTCATCTCTAAACAGCAGTCCAGAGTTCAGATCTGTGTCACCTGGCGCGGCTTCTGTTGATGCTTCAACTGACTGGTTAGCTTGAAACTCACGAGACACGTCAATGATACAGAACTCAATTTTACAGTGCATGCTGAAATGACAACATTTATCTAGCATTAAATAAAATGTATTATTGAAATTAATGATGCGACACTTTAATTTCGTTTCTCCTTTCCACATCCCAGGAAGCTACATATCCAGCCGTGAGCTCTCCTTGGACCACGGTGGGATCAGTCTCATCGGGAAACGAGTTCTCTTCTCTTGGTTTCACTTACATGTCTCTTCTTATCCCACCCAACCTTTGGAACACTACTGCCTGTATTCGCTACTAGTGAGATTTATGGTTTAGGTATGTCTGTCGGCCACAAACAATCACAGGGCAGCTCTGCTAAAACAACAGTAACTTTTAGTTAGACAAGTAAGTGGACAGCCTTCCATGTAGGAAATTCATTCTCTGTTCATTTTCTCCCACACAACGTGGTCTGGGAAAAGGAGCAGCTCAGAAGTGGGCTGTGGCGTGGTGAGAGGTACATACCAGCTGCCCCGCAGACGCCGTGGAGGACGCGGAGGACGCGGAGGAGAGGCAGGCCTGCAAGGCAGAAACACAGTCGTGTTCAGTGGAGGCAGTGACCACGGGAGGTAACACGCCTGTGTTTTCAAGTATTTGAGGATATTTGATCACTAAAGTGACATGAGCCCACAGTGAGACTTCGTAAAGTACGTGGGAAAGGACGGCACCAAGAAGCAACTTCCACCCCGGGGCACACTGCCCGTGCGACTGTCCCCTGCCCCGCACGCAGGGCCACGTCAGCCACATGCACTGCTATTCCTTCTTATCACCTTCACAGAAGCACTACCATGAGACACCCAACATTTTCTTTTCTTTTTTTTTTTTTTTTTGCTGAACCAGGGATTGAACTCAGGTCCTTGCGCTTGCTAAGGAAGCGCTTATTCCACTGAGCGATCCCCCCGGCCCCAAGACACCCAACATTTTCAAGGTTACATTTTTCATTTCTTCTATACTCCAAGTTACTGAAACATAACATTGTTGGCATTTATATTTATTTACAACACCCTTCAAAAAATACTTTTTTCTGTAAAGTATCTTTTCATAAAAAGCATGAGCATGTTTTGTTTGTTTGTTTGTTTGTTTGTTTGTTTTGTTCAGCACTGGGGACCTTGCACCTGCCAGACAAGCACTTAAGCCGCTGAGCTATGTCCCTGGGAAGAAAGTTTTTATGACTTTGGAATAGAAATGATTGGTCATAATATTGTCTACATTAAAGAGCAAGTTAAAACTGTTTCTTTACCATTGATTCTTATATTTCATATATCTCATCAGAATTTAAATTTCTTTTTCAAAAATAGAGAGAGAAAGAGAGAGAAACAAAGGTAGCATAAGGGGCTCTATTCTGATAAGCAGAGCTGACCACATAACCCGCAACAAGAGCTACATCATTTCGGCCAACTCCTAGGCCATATGGAATTAAAAAAATGCTTGCTATTGCTTGTGAAAAATAAATAAATAAAAATAAATTTCTTTTAAAATTTTGAGTTTATATACCAAGAGATCTGCCCTCTCAGTAGATTTTCCAGCGCTCGGTTCTTCACTACAGGTGCACTGTGGCACACCAGGCATCAAGACCTCAGCCGCAGTGCTTGACTAAAAACTTTCGCCCACCAGGCCAACCGGCCCGCAGGGTCCTTCTGTTACGGTTTGTGTCAAGCTGACCCCCAAAGCCTCCGCAGTCATGAGCCAGATTGCTAGAGTCTGTGATTAATTCATGATCCAGCACCGGGATTACGGGTGTGAGTGCTGTGCCTGGGCTGGGGCTGATGCCTGAATGCTCTCTGTTGCCGCTGTTGCCACTGTGCCTGCCCTTTTGCTCTCGCTGTTTGCTAGTCTCCACCGCCATGAATGGCTGCCCTCTGCCGTGAGCCACTCTGCCTTGGAGCTAGCTGAGGATGAACTGAAACCTCCACAAGCTGTAAGCTAAGTAAACCTCTCCTTCCTTAATTTTGATGTCAGGTATTTTGTCCCAGTAACTAGAGAAGAGTCACCAAGACACCTTCCTCCCGAAGGAGATGACTGCGGCAGTTCCCAATGCGCAGTACCTTGGATCTGTCTGCAATGCTTCGCTTTGCCCTGGCTCTTCCGTAAGGGCTCAAGCCGATGCAGAATTCTAAGCGAATGGTAGCTTTCGGGCTGTGGAAGACACTGCTCTCCCGCTGAGGCTTCTGCTGTCGCCGTCACCCCCCATGCCGTGGCTCCCGGGGCGGGCTGCCTGTCCTCACATGTGCTTCGCGCTCAGTGTTGTCCTTCATGACATTTTTACATTTCACTGGGATATACCTGAGATCGGTACTGGGGACCAGCTGAGTTGGGCAGCGGGGAGCAAAGGAAACGGGGGAGATGCTGATCCAATGCACAAAGCTGAGTCAGGCAAGAGTGCGGAGTCGCATAACCTCCTACTCTGCATGGTAACAATAATAAATAAAAACATGTTGCATGCTTGAAATTAGCAAAATAGATTTTAACATTCCTATCACAAAAACGACCAACTTGTGAAATGATGGAAGTGTTCATTAGCTTCAGTCAGGCTTTCTATAGCATTTATACCGACCAAATATCATAGTGCACCCCGTAATTAGGTACAACTGGGCCAGCGAGATAGCTCGGCAGACTAAGTGCCTGCGGATCCAGGGTTCAGTCCTGCAGCACAAGCTGAGCTGGCCCTACCACCAGGTGTGCAAAGGGGCCACAGAGACAGGGTGTGGTGTCACACACCTGTAATCCCAGTGCTGGGGCAGCTGAAAACAGGAGGATCACTACAATTCGGAGCTGTGCAGTGAGACCCAGTACCAAATACATAAAATTTGGGGGGAAAATGAGGTAAATTGTCAAATAAAAGTAAATAGAACATTTTTAAAAAACTGAGAGAACAGTAAAAAATCATAAACATCAAAATTTCTTGAAAGAAAATTTGTTAAAGATTTAGCTTATATCAGGACTAAAGGTTAAAGACTATGAAAGAAGTGAGGATTGGAAACTCAAAGAAAAATAAATTACAACAAGCCTCCAGAAAGGCCTTTTTCACCTCCAAAGGCAGAGGACCAGAGGCTTGCAGACAGCAGCACTGCCCTTGGCCCCAGGTCCGCCTCCAACTCCGGGATTCTGTACAAGGCACCTCTGAGGAACTCAAAGGACAGGGGCTAAGGCCGAAGGGCGTCCCACGCTCTCTGCTGCTTTTCTGCCTCACTAACAGAGCCCAGGTGACCGTCTTCCATGTTCCCTTTCTTCACACACACACAGACACTTCAGAACTATTTCTGAATGACTAAGAAAAGTAATAAATGAGAATAACTGATAGAGTAGAATTCTTAAATTGTACGCACTTTCCCTGGAATTCATCTAGTTTTATCCTAGGGCAGGGCATCTGGCCGTGGAGTGTGCCTTAGGGTTCCTTCTGTGCCCACATCACTACCTGAGTCACTCCCGCATAGCAACGCTGCTTAGCATAGCAACGAGAAGAACGTGAGAGCTGGCTAGGTTGGAGACCATGACCTTTATTTTAATATCTGTATATGTAGAGGGAAATGTTCTTAATTAAGTTTGACACATTTTTCAATATATTATATTTTGGAAGCAATATACTTCAGTGTAATGACATTTTCTGTTCCTCAAGTTCATTAAGATGAGATCATGTATAGTACCTAATATCTAATAAGTTTATCTCATTTATTTCCCTGGCACTTAAAAGTAATTCTGGAAATGGAAGTTTTGAAGTAATGCATTATCAGAAAAACAGGATTCTAATCAACTGTTTTTGATAAATTAGTAATAGATCCAAATACTTGTTCCACTTTCTAATGTTGTTTTTTATTAAGAAAACATCTGTGATTTTGAATTATATGAATGAAATAAATTTATACTGGTAGCAGTTAATAAAAATAGTAAACATTTACAAAGGTAAGTATAATGCATAGAAAAATATTCCAATGCAAATGGAATTAAAATAGAAGGAAATGGAGAAACCATTTAAAATAAATGTCATGACCAAATAGCTACAACTCTTGCTGCATAGGTCCTGCTTTACCTTGGTCTTAACCATCCAGCAGAAAAGTATGAAGACAAAATTATAAGAAATAAAGCCATGCTGTTAAGTTGAGCTGTGGGGGACTCAGGTCAATAATTTCTGACATTGCCAGTTAAACAGAAGACCCAGTGCTATTATGGGCTACTGGACTCTTTTAGAATATTTTGCTGAGTTTACACACCTATAATATTCAATAACGGAACTTAGAAAAAATGGGGTATACAGATGAATGTCCATTTTGTATCTGTGTATTCAAAGTGGTTGGGATAGATATATAGTTACATTCTGTTAATGAATAGAATGATTTGTTCTAATGGAGTTTGTAAATAGGATCACAAGTCCGCATCTTGTACAGCAATTAACCACTAAGAAGAATATATGCAGTGTATTATTTGTTGAAAAATAAAAAAATAAATTAAAAAAAATGAAAAAAAATAAAAAAAATTAAAAAAGAGTATATGTGATGAACAATTCAAAAATAAATAAATAAATAAATAAATAAATACATAAAATAAATGTCATGAGAAATAGCTGCCCATATATTAGCTGATGAATTAGGAACTCACTCGTAATCAAGAGATTGAAAATCTTGTAAACAGTAAAGCATTATCATTTAATGTTCATGTGACCAGATACTGCAGCATTCATTCCATGCTTACGATCAAGTTTATCAGGCATTAGGACACAGTTTAGGCTAAGTGTACAAACGCTGGCATCCTTGAGTACTACACACATGGATGGCAGAGTCCTGGTGGGCAGGAGCCCTGGGAGGGAGTCTGCCTGCTCCCCGACTTTTCAGGCTTGCTTTCTCCCTGCGTGCAGCAGAATTTTATAATATAGCACCCACCTCACAGGCCTGGTGTGTGGTTTAAGGTCAAGATCTACTTGCAAGACAAGCATTCAAACACTAGTTATTACTGAATTAAGCACCTCTTTAGAAGATGAAGTACATAGCAAGAGCCCTGTCTCAAGAAAAACAAACAAAAATAAAAAGGTGAACTGAAGTCCTGATGAGGAGGCACTTGAAGGAGCAGACGCTGCCTGGTCACGCGTAGCTGGCCTCCCTTCACTGCCCTCCGCTCCAGAGAACCTCACTCAGCTCACCTTCAAAGGGCCTGCAACTCACACCGCAGGAAAGGGAGCAGCCCTTGCTCTTCGATAGACTCCCACGGGGCAGACCTGGCTAAGACTGTGAACCCCCACAGCACATCCCACAGGGCAGCAAAGGAGCATTTTTCGCTGATTTTCTCTACTTTCTTCCTTTTTTCTTTCTTTGAGGCCAAAAATCTTCACCAAAGGCTGACAAAAAGGAATTAATGAACAATTTCTTGTGTAATTAAACTATCCCAGAAACAATGGGAATCCATTGATACGGTGAAAACTAACGCCTTTGTTTTACTGTCAGTGCGCTGCTGAGCTCTCCTCTACTTCTGTAAGTATTTCGCTCATTTCCTATTTACTTCCTGCCTGCTCCTCTATTGGAACACGTGCTTCCGCGAGGAACCTCAGCCCCGAGCCCACACCTCTCACCCAACCACTCCTCCATGACTGGCATGCGGCATACACTCCAGAAGTGAGTGCTGAATCAAGGAACAAAGCTGGGGGACTGAACAGCAGAGCCAGAGACTACTTATCAGCTGTCCTACCAGTAACAGGCCACGTGTCACCTATGAAACTGATGAGCCTCAAGATGTGGGTGGGAGTGCAGACTTGCTAAGGCTCTCCGGTGTGTCCAGCCTGCTTGCTTGGCTTCAATTTCAGTTTTCCCTTTGCTCCTCTCCTATGTTCCAGGAGCTGGAAGACAGGATGATTTCTGCTTCTGATCCTAACCTTAAGAATCTCTGCAAAGTGGACCAGTGAGATAGGCCAGCAGACTAAACCCCTGCATAGGCAAGCGCAGGGAATGGGGTTCAATCCCTGGTACCACCTGCCATGCAGGCCCTGCCCTCTGGGTTGCACTGAGCCAGCGACCAAGACCGGGCACGGTAGTGCATGCCAGTAATCCCAGCGCTGGGAAGGCTGACACAGGAGGATCACCACAAGGCCGAGCTGCATCAGGCCCTGTACCAAATACACTAAGCAAGACAAAAAGAGAATCTCTACAAAGTTAAGGCCCCTCTGAGTCCCAGGAGGTACATACGCGAAGATTCTCTCTTTCTCCAAAGTTGTGAAGAGAGCTGATGAAATGCTAACACCTGGAAGTCTATAGACTTTTCAGATTTGCTTTTGCATTTGCATGGAAGGAGGGAGAAAAATATGATGAGAAATGGAGTGAAAACTGTCCAACTCATACTAGAAGAGAAACAGCTTCCTATAGCTCAGCTAATATGCAATTTCTAAAAACTTTAAAATGCCCTTTCTCTAAAAATCTCTTATTATATTAAGACAGATGGTTCATATATGATCAAAACCTATAGTTAAAGTCAGCTTCTATTCTAAAATTTCATCTTTCCTTCTCAAAATATATTGTTTTTCTCAAAATAAATATATCGGCTAGTATTTGGTAAACATAACAAGAGAGTACATAACAAGTGTGCTACCTGAGTTGGCACCAAAAAGCGTGAGGCACCACAAACAATAGTCCAAATGTCAAGGAATAAGAGAAAGCAAAATAAATAAATAAATAAATAGAAATATTAGCTAGCCTGGTAGCTCAGCGGAGTAAAGCACCCGCTTAGGAAGAGTGCAGTGGCCAGGGTTCGATCCCCAGCATGCCCTGCCAGCCCCGCCTGCAGGGCACACTGAGACCGTGATTGAGACTGGGCATGGTAGCACGCACCTGTAATCCCAGCTCTTGGGAGGCTGAATACAGGCGGATCACTACGAGTCTGATCTATGTAGTAAGACCCTGTAGACCCTGTACTAAAATACAAAAAAAAAAAACAAAACAAAACAAAACCTCATCCAGGGAGCAAAATTTAATTTAATTAAGGTCAAGAACACTATCTGAATCAGAGTTTATATTTGTCCCAGTCTATACTGAACTTCGTGATTCAGAATTAACCTGGAATGACTCAGATGCTCCCACAAAAGTTACAGGTTGAAAAGTTAATTTTATTAAGTCTGATGTTTTATTGAAAACAGAATAATTTGAAATGATCTTCAACTGTGGTGATCAAAGCCTGCTCTAGAACCATTCCAGTTGCTACCAAATTGAGAATCCCCAAGGAAGAGGGTCAGGGCAACAGCCCTCTGAACTTACTGAAAATCAAAGTAACCAGAGGCACCCGCTAGGTGCTAGCAGTAGATGAGGAAAGAAAGGAGACAGAAACACTCCCGCTGTTCTCCGGGTCTGGCTCTTGGGTTTGCGGGGCGCACTAGTCATGAAAAGGCACAGAAACACCTCTAAAGAACTTTCGTTTCTTGTGCCCACTACAGCATCAGGCAACGCAGTTGTACGCCTTCTAGACAGCCTGGAAAGACAGCAAGGAGCAGGCCAGCGCAGAAGCACATGTGAAGGAGAAGGAAGAAAGGAGAAACTACCACGGCCGCGCAATTCCCATGTGTCAGAACACACCAAGGGCTTTGCAGGCAGTGACTAACACTAATCTTAACACCACCCTCACACAAACCAAGTGAGAAAATTAGCATCACCATTTTATAGTTGAAAATAAAGGCACAGCAAGGTGAAAATATGTCACTGTTCCAGAGTCACACACTTATCTAGAAGCAACGCTGCAATTTAGACTTGGATTGAGCCTACCAAATGTCACTGCTCCTTTTAAACATGACTCTAAAGGGCTTCCAATAATAATGAAAAATAACAGTGAACGCTTCCAGGAAAGCTCTGAGCTGTGTTCCTGCCCACAGCCTGTAGGCACAATGTCCTGAATGTGATAAAATTCAGTCATTTTGCTGTGTTATTTGCCTTATGGAAACTCAAGGGAAGGCAGCACTGTGTAACTGCAACGACAGTACGGCCCAGAACACACGGACAGCTGCCTGCTCTTGACGACGGCGACAAAACTGCACACTGGACAAAACAATGTGCTGTTTGAAAGGAATAAGCTGCCGATCTGTTTCAGACTAACACCAGAACACCTGCTCAGGAAACAAGCTTGTCTCCAGCGCAATGCGCCTGGTCCCTGTAGAGGCCCTTTCCACTTATGAGGAAACCATTAACAGCACAGCTGCGTGGTGGAGTCCGCTCACACACCTCTAAAGGAGCAGTGCGTGTGATTACGAGATACTTACATATTTGGTTTCTCGACCAGCTGCTCGCGGAAGAGTTGGAGGAGTCTGTATGAAAATAAAAGTAATTACACATCTAAAACAACCAGTAAAAAGGGAAATTCAGCTTCTAACTTATGTTCATCTTTTTCTTCTTGGAGATGGTCTAACTACCCTTCCTTTATTTCTGTATAAAATCCCTTTTACCTTTGCAAATCATTTCATTAAACTGTATTCCTGTTTTTCTTTTTATTACCATTATCTAACAGCCTTCTGGTAACCGCCCCTCAGGTACCATGACATTAGCTTAACGGTCATAACCGTTGCTTCACATTTCTACCATAATTTTTGACTCTTTCAAAATTCATGCAAAAATCTTCAATTTTTTTAATTGTTCAAAACCAGCTACTCACATTCATTCTGCTTCAGCCGTTCACTTCCAAAACGATTCCTGGAGTTTTAAAACCTCGATGACCTTCAGCACTCGCTCTTGGTGCCCCTACTCTTACCCCACCTGAACTTCTCTAACACCCTGATCCACGGCACTGGGGGCCAGCAACACTGTGGCTTTGTTAGGCTTTAGCTTACTTACATTTCACATTCCCCATTTAATATGTTCATTTATTCTGTATGTCTCTCTCTTCTCATAGCAAGCTTACTTGCAAAACAACAAAAACAGACCCTCACAATGGACCTCATCATGTTTTCCTCCCAAACTCGGTCCTGAGAAGCAGAAACCATTCCAGGGGAAATGCTTTCAAATATGCTAATCAATTTTATTTGAAGCTAGAGACTTCCAACTTCAAAGGTGCACTCGGTGGCCCGCAGGGCCCCCCATCTGTGTCCCCCAGAGGGTCCCTTCTGCGACAGGATGGCGATTCCACTCACTCACCCACTCAGCAAACGTGTCCGGAGTATTTACTGTATGGCACTCTCCCGCCTTGGAAGTTAGCAGTAAGCAAAAGAGACAGAGACACTCTACCCTCTTTGAGATGTTCCAACTACCCCTCCTTTATTTCTGTATAAAATCTCGTGGAGCTTATATGCTATTAGGAATAATATACAACGGAACAGTAAGTGAGTTACAGATTAGGTGATAGGTGCAAAGGAAAGTAGTAGAAATAATTTGAATCTTAGAGTAATACATTCTTCCAGAGGAAATCTTCTCTGCCTCTTGCAAGCGCCTGTGCTTTTCTAGGCCACCCAGATGTTGAGGGGAGCAAGGGTGCTGGGTGGTCACCCTGCAAGTAGGCACACAAAGCTAATGTGACATCTGGACACAGAATAAAAGAGATGATAGACTCGGCTCTTCCCACAGGAGAAAGCAAACTGAAGTGCCTCTTACCGCGGAGGACTGAGGACAGGGAGTCCTTCCACAAGGAGCATTCAAAGTAGAGCAAAATATTGAAAAATATTTTATCAAGGACATCAATAAGCTTAAGAAAGAGTGAATAAAACTGGGGTAAAATGAAGACAGATGGGCACCTGAAGAGAAAGGCCAGCAGCTCTGGCCCGAGATGTGCACGGGGACGGGCTGCTTAAAGCTCAGGGCTTCTGAGTTTTTGATGTCTCAGACACAGGAGAAGATAAAAAGCAAGAAAAAAGAGCAGAATCTACCGAAAACATATTGAGGAGTTTCAGCCTGCCTTGAGTTATTTGAAAATGACCATCTAGAATCTCAAGGCCTCAAATTAAAGCAGTGCTTCTTAGTATGGTCCCAGGACCTGACAGAAGCAAACAAAAGACTCACATGACATCCCCTGAGGTCTGATTCCTACAGATGAATTTTCACACAGAATCTCTAGCATATAATCAGATTCCAATACAAAAAGATAAGACAAAATACAAGTGGGAATGAGCAGAAATAATAAGCAAACAACAGAAAAAGACTGAGGGTCCAGAAATTTGTTTTCTCAGATGCAGATGTAAAAACAATCACAATAACCATTTTTGGGAGGATAAAAGCTAAGATTGCAAATTTTTAGAGGTTAGTGTGATAAAATGATTTGAAAGAGGATTAAATAAACAATGCTGGTTTGGTGCCTGCAAAGCACAGCACAAGGGGTTCTTGGGGCCGAAGCTAAAGACAGAGTTGGGGACGAATCATGAAGTGAGAGGGCCCGCCTGGAAGACCTCACAGGACAGCGAAGACAGGGCGTGGACCCCACAGGACCTGTGCGCTGCTGGCGTGTGAAGCTTGCGAGGGACTCACGCCTTCACAAGTCTCTTTCTGTTAAACGAGCATGAGGCAAGGTCGCCCTAGGAAGGAAGCTGCTGTGCTAAGTGGAGAAACAAGATGAGGCTGCAGCCACGCAGTCAGCGTGAGCTATTCATGTTCTCTACATACTTTGAAGCCACAACAAGATTTCTAAAAGAAGAGATGTGGGACGTGAGAGAAAGGAAGAATAAGATTGCCAGAAAGACTGTGTGCGAGGCAAATGCAACACTAGAGTTCTCTCAAGGGGTGGAGGGAGCACGCAGAGTCACTGGCTTCACCTTTACATGCTCTGCGTCTGAGACATGTGCTGTGTCTAGACAGAAATAAAGAGCAGGTGCTTGGAGGCTGGCTTCTGGGAGAGAATTCTGAATTAAAGATAACATTTGAGAGCGGCTGGCATACACTTGGCCTTCGAATCACGAGCAGGCAAGAATGCTGAGGGAGTGGATGGACCACGCAGGCACTCAAGCCCTGAGCTCCCACGCCCCAGCACAGCAGCCTGGGCGGAGGACAGCGGCGCAGGCGGCGACCAGGACGTAAGGGTGCAAAGCGCAGGCACGTGCCCTGCGCCTCTGCTCAGCCTCTGCAGGCTCTGCCCTGCACCTTCATCCGCAGTGGTAACTTGGACAGCTGCTGGAAGAGGAGCGAGCCCAAGCAGAGCTGTGGGCAAGCGCAGGTGAGTGCCATGGGCACATGGTCTAAGCCACGACCGTCTACACGCTCCTGTTCTGGGAAGAGTAAATAAACCTCTCCGAGACTGGCAACTCCTAGGACACAGATTTCCTATCGGCCACTTCAGGCCCCAGACATGCACGCATCCCAGTTAGCTGACATGCCTGGACACATCTGAGCTTCCACAGAAAAAGAATACAATCGCTGAAAAGTGTGAAAGAACACAACTGCTCAAACATCTGGCTCCTGAGTGCTTACCTAGTGTCTGTACCAGGTAAAATCAGAACTCAATGCAGCAGGAAGCGGTGAGTAGACAAAAGAATGCTTCAGTAAGAAAGGCTTTCTGCCCACATAGGAAAAAGTCCTGGCACATGCCTCCTATGAAAGACGGACTCCAAAGACGACCAAGCCTAGGATTCTGCTTGTATGCTATGCTTGAAAAGACAAAATGTAGGGACAAAATGTAGGGAGAAGAAACAAATGGCTGTCAAGTACTTGGAGCAAAAGTCAGGGACCACATGTCAAAATCTGTCTGCCTAAGTGTCTGAACAAATATCACACATATCTTTGCTCCTGTTAGGCCACTTCCTCGGTGGTCACTAGAATTCGACACCGTGGTAAGGTGAAATTGCAGTTGCCCTCAACTGGTTTTCAGTGTATGCCAATATCTGGGGGGCGGGGGGGTCATAAACAACACTGCGGCCCGTTCTCCAAGAACCATGGTGTGGGCCGGAGAAGCTGCGCCCAACAGCCAGCCATCAGGGGGCGGACTCCACAGCACGGCCACCACCACAGGCCCCCATACTCCACGGCACAGCCACCACCACAGGCCCCCACACTCCACGGCACAGCCACCACCACAGGCCCCCACACTCCACGGCACAGCCACCACCACAGGCCCCTGCACTCCACAGCACGGCCACCACCACAGGCCCCGCACTCCACAGCACGGCC